TTATATACAGGAGTAGTTTGGTCACAAATACACATACATGAGGGTAGAGAGTTGAGTAATAATTCTACACACTAAGGAATGCCAAAGATTGTCAGCAATCACCAAAAGCTAGGAGAGAACCATGAAATAAATTCTTCTTACAGCACTAAAAGATAGCCCCTTGCCTATACCTTAATATCAAACTTATAGCTTTAAGACTATGAGATAATACATTTCTGTTACTTAGCTGACTTAGCCTAAGATATTTTCTTATAGTAGGCCTAGCAAACTAATGAAGCCCACTCTAATAGAGTCTCATACATAGGTAATCAGATAATTTTCTGAATTTTGGCTGCTCATTGCTAAGGTAGGAGGAAGTGGTCTGCCTCTTCTGACCTGTTTCTCCTTTATCCAGCTAGATCCACAAAAGAAAAAAAATGTTACATACAGAAACTAATACTGCTAAACTTTAGAAACAATTTATAAGAAACTCTATATTTAATATTTCTCTGTGTGTATTTATATGTATATCTTACCCTTCATTGGTGACTGCATCATAAGCTGGTGATGTTGGTTGACATAGGTTAAGGCTAAAGGATTGAAGTGTACATAAAGAAGCACCACGTGAATTCATAGACACACTTTTGCATTCAAATTAGCTGTGACTGCCAGCAACCAGCAAAAGCTAAGAGGCATGGAACAGACTTTTTCTTATAGTCTTCAAAAATGTCAACCCTGTCAATATCTTGATATTGAACCTGTAGTCTCTAGAACTGTGAGATAAGTTTCTCTTGTTTAACTCACTCAGTGTAATATACTTTCTTATGAAAGCTCTAGCAAACTAACAAAATCCACTCTAGTAGAGTCTCATATATAGGCAATCAGTTTTTTTTAGAGTTTTGGCTATTAGTCACTAAGATATAAGGAAGTGGTCTGCCTCTTCTGATCTGTATTTCCTATATCCAGATCCAAAATAGAAGGAATGTTACATGTTTACACTGATACTACCAGTACTTTGGGATTGTGAGACAAACAGTACCTATGAAACTATATTTAATATCAACATATGTAGTTATCTATAGATACACACATACATATTATTTTATGGTGATTCTATTATTGGTTAGTGAAGTCAATTCATTTAGGTCAGAGATAACAGACTAAACCCTACATAATGAAATATCATGTGAATGAACAGACTTACTTTTTCATTCAGATTAGCTAAAATTTCCCCACAACCTATACACTGTTTGAACACTAAAAATTCATATTTAATTTAGTTTTTTTGAAAAGATATTTTATTTGTTCTGAAAAAATAGGTTTTAAATAGTAGAAATGAAACTCAGGAATGTAAAAGAAACCTAAACAAGAAATTATAAAATTATAAAAGAATCTTTAACACTATCTAGACCCAATGCATAACAACCTGTAGTGGAGATATTTATTTAGAATTCATCTTCAATTTGTAGGTCCTCAATCCTCTTAGTCTGTCTAATTTCCTGCTTCCCAAGTCTTTTTATTACCTCCTTTCACATACTGTCTTCCCTGGCCGTAAGACAGGGACAAGTAACTCAAAGCTAGATGCAAGAGTTTCATTCAATGTAATGGTAGGTTTGGGTTTGGGCACCAGCCTCACATGCTGAAGGAGAGTAGGAAGATGAGGGACAAATCCAGGATCTATTAGCTCCTTACCTCCTCCTATAGTTTCTTTGTTCCCAGTTCACTGCTACCACTTTCTGGCTTCTAAACAGGATCCCCTTCTTCTCTGACCAATTATGAGCCTCGCATAAAGACATGATAGTATCTTAAGAGTTTTTGGGTGAGGACCAGCAGATGGCGTAATGGCTATGTCACTGGACTCCATCTAGTAGACTGTGGTTCAAGTCCCAGACCTGGTGGCTTAAACTCACACCGGGCATGTGTGCGTGCATGCCCAAGATCCTGAGAGGAGAATGGAAAAGAAGGGATTATGGCATGGCCATCCCCCCTGGGGGTGATTTCTTGCTTTCTGTCTCTCTGTCTCTGTCTTTCTGGTGAGTGCACATGCCCTATAGCAAAAAAACCTATCAAAAAAAAAGAGTTTTGGGTGCTGGTCCATAAGCACCCTAAGGCTCACAAACATATCATGAGTAAGTATTTTTTGCCTGTTCTGCCTGTTTCTATCTAGATCCTAAACAGAAAAAAAAAAAGTTATATACAGAAGTTGATAGGCTGTTGTGTACACTTTGTATTTTCATAACCATTCCAAAATTGTTTTCCCACTCAGATAACAGAAAGTCAATTCACTTATTATTGGCATTCTGTCTAGAGGACACTGACAAGGCTGTTAAAAACATTCTTATCTCTGTCAAAAAAATAAAAAATATAGACAATAAAATCAGATATTGTGGGAGAAATTATGTTCTTTTCTGGCAAGAAGTGCAAGGTACAAAAGTAAGTCACAAATGAGAAATCCTGAAGAGACATGACATGGTAAGAACAACTTTGAATTCTTGAGTAATACCTGCAAATAAGCCTCTGGTGTATGTGTGTGTGTGTTTGTGTGTGTGTGCATTTAGTGGAAATAAAAGAAGGATGCAAAGTATAAACAATAATGATTATTGGAAGAAAGGATGTTTTCCTTCCTTTTTCCCATCCTCTCTACCATTCTGGTCACTGTTGATTAAACTTGGGAAGTGAGAGAGGAATGTGTGTAGTGATAGCAATACCTCATTAACAAAAGCATATATAGACTGAATATTTTGAAATGTAATGTATTTTTGGTTTATTGAGCAGGATGTACTTTGAATCTAGTTTTCAGTGATCAAAAACAACAGCAGCTTTATAAATACATGAACTGAATGATAATCACTATATTAGAATCCACATTATTATAGAAGTATATAGTGCAGGTTTCCCAATTTTAGTTTCTCAGAAGGACTAAGGACTATTCAAACTGTTAAATTTTTGCATACGTCTATGACACCCCTAGTTCTTTTCTCTCTTGACTTAACCAAAGTGTTAAGCATGACTGTCACGACTTTGGAAGTTAAAGTGCATGCATGCTAAAAATTCTGATTCGACTACACACAAGCAGGTTTAAATACAAATCCACCAGTTATTTGATAGATGGTTGTCTCAGCAGATTTACTATTACACTTATATATTTATTATTATAACCATAATTCACTCTATAAAACTAAATAACAAAGGAAAAGTCTAAAATGTTACAAGTAACTGAATAACAGCTACTCAGAACCAATGATTGATACCACAGAGTTTTTCAAATTATAAACTTATCTCCCACAGTCTTCTATATGGAAATTACAAATTCTTTCACTGGCTATGTTAAAGTTACCTGTGTTTTAAAAAATCTATCTCAATTAATTTATGAGTTTTTTTGTTATCCAAGTTTTAATTACTTTTTCTATAAAACTGTATTTCACAGTAAATAATATCATTGACAAGTCAATATATACTTTCAAAATAACCAGCAGAGAAAATTTTAAAAGTATACAGCAAAATTTAAAGTTGAATGTTGAAGGTAGTACTAGCAGATGGCATAATGGTTATGTTGCTGGACTCCTGTGTAGTCAACTGTGGTTCGAGTCCCAGTCTGGCAACTTAAAACTTAAACAGGGCACATGTATGTGTATGCTCAAGCTACTGAGAGGAGAATGAAGGAGAAGGGATTGCAGCATGACCATTCCCCCAGGAGGTGATTTCTCACTTTCTGTCTCTGTCTCACATACGCCCTATAGCTAAATAAATAAATAAATAATTTAAAAACTCCAAAAAACAGTTAAAGGTGGTAAATATGTTTATATCCTAAATTTACTTATTACATACTATATACATACTTTTAAAGAATTATACTTTACCCTACAAAGATGTATAATGATTATATATAAATCATAAATTACAATGAATAAGTAAATAAATAAAATTTTTTAATTATTTGAATCTAAGGAGAAAGACAACTTAGCTCAATGGGAGATCTAGTTTTCTAGAAAGAATTTGAAAGTCAATGTCTAGAAAACTATTTTCTCATGGATAATTCTAAGATTGAATTTTACAAATCTCAAACTCTCTATAGCATTTCTCTCTCTCTCTCTCTGCCTCTCAATATATATTAAGACATCACCTTTCATTGTTGGCTCCACAGGTTACTGATTTCAATTCATTAGGGTCAGTGCAAAAGGATTGAAACACATATAATAAGAAATCACATAAATTAATACACTTATTATTAGGAGGAGGTTGAACTGCCTACAATTACTCTGTGTATCACCAATTTGTTATTGTTGAAAAGTTCTTAAGTCAGTCAGTTACTCAGGATCTGGTATTTCCTTTTATTCTAGGAATAACCTTTTGTATGTTTGTAAGAAAATTTTTAGGTCTCCCAAAAGGGTTTAAAGAATCAAGATCTAAAAACAGTTCTTTCTTACTAGAAACATCTAGGATAGTCTTTTGAGGTTAAATTTGCTTCAAATTCAGCTTTAGTTTATGGGTACCCATTGTTCTTGCTCCTTTTAGTTTTGCCACCTTCATCCTATTCATGAATCATGGAAGTCTTTTCTGCCTCTCAGAAAGGGTCAAGTAAGTAACTGCAAGTTGATACTGAGATTCCATCCAATGTGGTAGTGGTTTTAAGGAACCAGCCTCCCATGTGGCAGAGCTCTTGAGGGTAAAGGATAGATATAGGATCTATTAGCTCTTTCTTTCCACTGTGGGCTCCTCTACACCCCATTCACTGATATTACTTCCTTGATTCCAAATATGATTCTTTCTTTTCTTGACCCACTGTCCTAAAGTCTCACATTTAGGCATAGTTTCCTAAGGATTTTTGCTGGTAGTTACTTAAGGTAACTAAGGATAAGTGCCTATGAGTAAGAAGTGCCCTTATGACCAGTTCTTATTTTTTTCCATGTAGATCCAAGAAGTAAGTTATCTACAGAAGCTTATAGTCCATTATGGAAACCTGTTATTGCCACAGATGCTCCCAATATCTTCCACCACTCAGGTCAGATAAGTCAACTCACTTCTTGCTGCAATCATTCCCAGAAGATAATGCAGAAACTGTGGGATCATCCATAACTCTGCCAAAATGTAAAAAGGATAAAAAGAAAATTAAAAGACATAATGTTTAGGAAGGTTATCAAGTTATTTTCTTAATAGGATTTTAGGAATAAAAAGTAAAATTACAAGTAACTGTGATCAGAAGTAAAGACATAGTTTCAGGGTACTACACAGGAATTTTTTTTTCTTTTTTTTGGATAGGTTTTTGCTATAGGGTGCATGCGCTCACCAGAAAGACAGAGAGAAACAGAGAAACAGAAAAGAAGAAATCACCCCTGGGATGGGATGGTCACGCCACAATCCCTTCTCCTCCATTCTCCTCTTGGGATCTTAGGCACGCACACACACGTGTCCAGCATGAGTTTAAGCCACCAGGTCTGGGACTGGAACCGTGGTCGACTACATGGGAGTCCAGCGACATAGCCATTATGCTAACTGCTGGTGCCTACATTGGAACTTCTGAGACAGACTCAGCTGTGTGTGTGAGTGTGTGTGTACTATAAAGAAAAGAAAAGAAAGTAGCCAGAGCATTCATGATTATACACCCTTTTACCATTCCATTTGCTCTATCATTCAGGTCACTCTGGAATCAATTTGAGAAACATGAGCTACCTGAGAGTGCAGGGATGGGGACATGGATGTAAGTAGTAGGTGACAAAAGGATACAGAAGGAAAAGAGAGAGAAGAAAACACTGGAACAATGAATATTCCAATATGAAGGGTCAGTGATAACCTAAGTTATGTTTAAAAGGTTTTATGAACTGGTCCAGCCATAGTGGCACAGCTGGTAGGGCACTGCTGTGTGATGCAGGAACCACACAGTTGGCCCAGATTTGGACACATGATTGGCCTGAAATGTCAGGCATATACATGTATGCACATCACAGCCAAATTGGTAAAAATCAAAGACAACTACAACATTCTAAAAAGGCAAGAAAGAAACAATAAGTTACTTATAGAGATTTTACTATTAGGCTAATATCTGACCTCTCAACTGAAACAATGCAGGCTAGCTTTGCACAGTGACAGTATCACAGCCAATGAGGTTTATTGGAGGCACGATTATTGCTAATTGAAACAATGCAGGCTAGGAAAGAATAAAAAGACATATTTGAAACTCTTGTTTTTCAGAGGTTTTTGCCTTAGGGTATGTACACTTGCTGGAGAGAGAGAGAGACAGACATACTGAGAGGGAAAGTGAGAAATAACCCCCCAGGGGGGATGACCATGCAACAATCCCTTCTCCTTCATTCTCCTTCTGGGATCTTGGGCACACATACACATGTGATCGGCGTTACTTTCAAGCCACTGAGTCCAGGACTCAAACTGCAGTCTGCCATGTGGAAGTCCAGCAATGTAACTGCTACACCATCTGTTGGTCCCATATTTGAAACTCGTAAAGAAAAAAAATTCCAGCCAAGAATACTCTACCCAGCAAGACTGTACTTCATATTAAAAGGGAAAATAAAATCACTTGCAGATAAACAAAAACTGAAAGAATCTATCAACACAAGTTTGGCTCTCCAGGAAATACTCAAGAGAATACCACGTTAGGAAAACAAAAGAGAGAGAAACAGAAATAAAAGAACATATTATAGGGGGCTAGCAAGTGGCATGGTGGTTAAGGGCATTAGACTCTCATATGGACAACTGTGCTTCAAGTCCTGACCTGGCGGCTTGCTTGCTCTCTCTCTCTCTCTCTCTCTTTCTCTCCCCCTCCTTCCCTCCCTCCCCCTCTACCTCTCCCTCCACCCCTCCCACATGTTACAACAAGAAAAAAAATGACTAACAAATGACAGGAATAATGTCACATTTATCAATAATGACACTGAATACAAATGAATTAAATTCTCTAATTAAGACATGAATGACTGAGTGGATAAAAATACAGGAAACTTTTATCTGTTGTATACAAAAAACACACCTCACTGATAAGACTATACAAAGACTGATACTGAAGGGCTAGAAAAAAATAATTTCATACAAATAGAAACCAAAAAAAAAAAAAAAAAAAAAAGGCCAGAGGAGAGAACCAGATATCAAAAAAAAAAAGGCCAGAGTAGTGATACTGATATCAGACAAAATAGACTTCAATGTGAAAATGGTTAAAAGAGACCACTACAGTGATCATTCGAAAAGGAGTAATTCTAAAAGGATTAATTCACCAAATTCTAAAAAGAAAAATTCACTAAAAAGACATAACAATATAAATATCTACACACCTCACACTAGTGCAGTCAAATACATAAGAGAAAGATTTCTAGATCTAAAATGAGAGATAGATTGCAAATACTAATCATGAAACTTTTACCCGACATCTACTAAACATACATCCTCTCATGGAGTATTTTCAAAGAGTGACCACTTAATAAGACACAAAAAAAGCCTCTAAAAATTTAAACGTATAAAAACTATACCCAGAATCTTCTCCAATCACAATAGAATTAAACTTGAAATCAATCACATAAAGAGCCCTCAAAAATACACAAAATATGGAAACTAAACAACCTACTACTGAATGACCAAACTGTTGAAGGAATCAAAACTCAAATCAGAAAATTCATTGAAGCCAACAGTAATAAACACACAACTCTTCCACGACCTTTGGGACACAGCAAATGCAGTCATAAAAGGGAAATGCTCCCAAGAAAAAAATAGAAAGATGGCAAATAATTAACTTGGCATCATATCTGAAGGAACTGGAAAAGAAACAAGAGCAAAAATATCAGAAGAGAAGAAATAAAGATTACAGCTGAAATAAATAAAATAGGCATTTGAGCTGTGAGCTATTCCTTTCAGGGATTAAGACTACTGAAGGTTTTCTGCTGAGACTTCACCCTCCAGACCCTAGTTTAGAGAGCAGAGAGGCAAAAGTGCAGGCCTTCTGAGAAGACTCCTGAATTTGAGCTAGGAACTATTCCTTTAAGGAACTAAGACTATTAAAGATTTTCCACTAAGACTTCACCCTACATACCCTAATCTAGAGAGTGAAAAGGCAAAAGTGAAGGACTTCTGAGAAAACACCTGCATTTGCGCTGTGAATTATTCCTTTCAGGGACTACTGAAGATTTTCTTCTGAGACTTCACCCTCCAGATCCCAATCTAGAGAATGCTTCCAAACAGTGAATGTCTAGACAGGTCTAAGTGAACAGTAGTCATGCATATGAATACTATTAGGGTCAGAATATTCCTCAGTTCTCACTGAATCTGCTGCACAATGGGAGAAAAGGGAACTGCAGAGAGATTGCAGATCACCTCCTGCTGCACACCTCTGAACGCTCAGATTGAACTTTAAGAAATTAGGAAGAAATTTATAGCCCATCAGATGACTGGAAATCACCATAGAAGCACAAGAAATATGAGAAACCAAGGAACCTCTCTCCTGAGGGAAAAGAGAAACTCTTCTTCATCCCTTGAGAACTTCCTGGAAATCTGGTCTGGTGTTGGTAAATTCTTTCAGGTTTTGTTTATCTGAGAATGTTTTGTCTTTTCTTCCAATATGAAGGATAATCTTGCTGGGTACAGTATTCTTGGTTGAAATTGCTTTTCCCTTAACACTTTGAATATATTTTCCCATTCTTACCTCGCTCACATTGTTTCCAATGAGAGGTCTGCTGCTTGCCTGATGGGATATCCTTTGTAGGTAACTTGACGTTTCTCTCCTGATAATCTTAGTATCTTGTCTTTGTCTGTGGTTTTGGTCAATCTGGCTATAATGTGTCTTGGAGAAGATCTTCTTGGGTTGATTCTATTTGGGGTCCATTGTACTTCTTGGGAATAGATCTTAGAATACATCTCCAGGTTTGTAAAGTTTTCTTGCAGGATTTCATGGAATACATTATCAATGCCCTTATGAGTCTCTTTGCCTTCTGGGATACCAATTATCCAGATGTTTGGACATTTGATGGTATCTAGTAATTCTCATATATTATTCTCATTTTTGGCGCAATTTTCTTAGTCTTAGTGGTGGATTTTTCTAGGCCAGCAAGTCTATCTTCTACATCTGAGATTCAATTTTTGGTATGATCTAGTCTGCTTTTAATACTTTCAAGGGAGGTTTTGACTTCCTGTACTATAGCCTTCATCTCTAACAGTTCCATTTGATTCTTCTTGATAGTGTGTATTTCCTCTTTTAGATCTTGAAAGAATTTCCTCACCTCCTGGAACTTGTCAGCTCCTTTCTCCTGAATCTTCTGCAGTTCTTTGCCTCGTTTCTCTTCCATCTCTCTTAGCTTTGTCCCTATGAATATTCTAAATTCTTTATCTAACATTCCTGTGAGTTTCATTGTACTGTCTGAGGATAAAGAGGAGTTATTCTTTTCCCTTGAAGAAGAGGCACTTTCTTGCTTTCCCATATTTCTTGTTACCCAGTGGTGATTTCTAGTCATCTGATGAGTAGTACGTTTCTTCCTAATTCTGGAAGTTCAATCTGAGTGTTCAGAGGTGTGCAGGAGGAGGTAATCTGCAATCTCTCTTTTGTTCCATTTTTCACTCTTTGTGTACCAGATTCAGTGGGAATTGAGGAATAGTCTAACCCTAATCATATTCAGATGCTTTGATCCTGTTTACTTTGACCTGTCTAGACACTTAGTGCATAGAGGCCACTAGAAATGAATCTGGAGGCAGAAGTCTCAGCAAAAAAATATTCATTTTTAGTCAATGAAAGCAATATTTCACAGCTTAAGTTCAGTATCTATCTCTGCATTTTTAAAATTTTTGTTCATTAAAGCTAAAACTGCTCTTTTTGAAATTAAAAAAATTTAAATACCTATTTAAAGACTGCAGTAAGCTATATAGACTCAGCTAGATGCTATTTTATAGGATATTCATTCTACTCAAGGAGTTTCATGCCTAAAGTCAGACATGTGTTCACAGACATGTATATATCAGCTGAACTTGCTATTCAAAGTATTTAGATTAATTAAGATATTTTGTGAATCAATAAAATGAGGGGGGAGGAATTGAAACCAACAGTATATATCAGAAACAGTGCAGGAGGAGGGTGGGAAATGGAGGGTGG